CCATCCATCCATCCATCCATCCATCCATCCATCCATCCATCCATCTATCCACCCATCCATCCACCCATCCATCCATCCATCTACCCATCCATCCATCCATCCATCCATCCACTCATCCAACCATCCATCTACCCATCCACCCAGATGTCTGCCTACTTCACACCACAAACCATCTATGATTCACCAATTTGTTCACACACTCATCTAACCATCCACTCATCCCTCCTTCCAGCTGTCCTTCCCTCCACCTACCAAGCCTTCCATCCATCTTGCACTGAGCTCTCTAATAAATATTCTATTTTACATGCCAGGCGCGTTGCTGGATGCCGAAGGACACAGGTCCTACTGGATTCAGTGTTATAAGAGGGGAAATAATTAAAACTCTCATAATTAGGATACAAGGTAGAGAGTAGCAAGTGCTCTGAGACCAGCAGTTCTCTGGGCCTCAGTTTCCACATCTGAACAATCTCCAGGGAAGGCTGGGCTCCGGCCACCTGTGTCCAACGGTCTGTGGTTTCCTGCGAAGGGTATTTTCCTTGTCTCCTCCTCTCTTGATTCCTCATCTTTCTCCTCAGTTTTGGTTGTACTTCTGTTCTCCTGGGTAGAGCCCTGGGTTTGAGGCTGAGCTTTCTGTTTTGGGGAGATAAAGTCAACTGAATGACTCTTAAGGCTGAATTTCTGTGTGGAGTTGTTTTGAATCTCACTCTATTTTTGTCCTGGTGACAAATGAGTAAGAATTGGAAGGTATGGGCAGGACTTTGGCCCCAGGTTGAGAGCAAGTTTAGAGGGAGGAAATGAGTGGTCAAGGCGAGTGAGTTATTTCTGGCTGTCGGGGTGAATGATGGATGATTGATGGTAGATGATGGACGGATGGATGGATGGTGGTTTAATGATGGATGGACGGACAGATGATGAGTGATGGATGGATAGACAATGGATGGAGGATGATGGGTGGGGTAATGGTGGACAGATGGATAAAAGCAGTCAGATGCTGGGCACGTTGGCACACGCCTGTAATCCCAGCAGCTCAGGAGGATCACAAGTGTAAAGCCAGTCCCAGAAACCTGGAAAGGCCCTAAGCAACTTAGTGAGACCCTGTCTCAAAATAAAACATAAAAAGCGCTGGGATGGGGCTTGGTGGTTAAGCATTCCTAGGTTCAATCCTTGGTACCGGAAAAAAATAAATGAAGCGGTCAGCTAAGTCTCTCAGGGGCCATCCCGGGTTTTGCTGAGAGCTTCCGTTAAGTGTCGCCCCAGGTCTTAACACTTTCAGTCTAGCTCCTCCGAGGTGATGTGGTATGGGGCTGAGAGCTCGTTCCTGAAGCTACATGCCAGTGGGTTTGGAGCCCGACTCCACCAATGAGTGCTGTAGACAAAGGACGTATTTGTCACAGTCTCCAAGCCGACAAAAGGGAGATCATACTATGGTGGCCACCTCCTCAGAGTTGGGGTGAGGATTAAATGAGATCCCCTGGGTGACCCAGTGAAGGGACAGAAAGGATAAAGCACTGCCAACAGGAAGGGTGTCCGGAGGTAAGGCCAGAGCACCCAGGGTGCGGGCTTTGGAGGGAGGCTGCACCCTGGGCACTCTGGCCTTAATCTCCCGAGCGCCAAACCAGGGCCAAAGGCAGGTTTCTGTTGGGACTTTTGAAACCTTCCTCGTGCCTTAGTCTCCCTTGTTATAAAATAAAAAGGGCTGGGGACAGTGCTATCCCTCTGCTACGTCCCCAGCCCTTTTTATTTTATCTTTAAATTTTGAGACAGGGTCTTTCTAAGTGTCTGAGGCTGACCTCAAATTTGTAATCCCCCTGCCTCAGCCTCCTAAAGGGCTGGGATTACACGTGTGAGTCACCAAGTTTGTTTTTCCTTTCAGGTTTACATAACTTTGTAGAAAGAGTTATTCAGAAACCAAGATTCTTTTGTTCATTTGCTCATCTGCTCAGGACAGGGCTGTTTATGTCTGCTATGATTAGGCACCAGGAACCCAGAGGGGAACAAAATCAGTCCCTGAAAACACTGGCGCTCCAACTTCAGGCTCTGGGGAAAAGTGACAGGTCCCCCAAAAGCTGTTTCTCTGGGGCACTAAGGTGGCCGGGAGCAGGGAGATGAGGAAATGAACATTTTAAAAGCGGCTGCTGAGCCAGGCGCCAGGATGCATGCCTAATAATCCCAGGGGCTCAGGAGGCTGAGGCAGGAGGATCACAGTTTCAAAGTCAGTCTCAAACAATTTAGCGAGGCTGTAAGCAACCTAGTGAGACCCTGTCTCAAAATAAAAAAATAAAAATAAAAAGGGGATTGTGGCTCAGTGGTTAAGTGCCCTTGGGTTCAATCCCTGGTACTAAAATTAATAAATAAATAAACAAAATAAAGTGGCTACTGAGTTGAGCATGGGGCATACCTGTCATCCTAGCAACTCGAGAGGCTGAGACAGGAGGATGGCCAGTTTGAGGCCACATTCAACAACTGAATGAGGTCCTAAGCAATTCAGTGAGATCCTGTCTGAAAATAAAAAATAATAAGGGCTGGGGAGTAAAGCTCAGTGGTAAAGTGCACTTGGGTTCAATCCACAGCACAAAACAAACAAACAAACAAATACCCACCCCCCCCCAAAAAAAAAAGAATGACAGCGGTAAACCAGGTGTGGTGGTACATACCTGTCACCCCACTACTGAGGCAGGGGGATCACAAGTTCTAGGCCAGCCTTAGCAATTTAGTAAGACTCTAGCTCAAAAAATAAGAGGGGCTGAATTGCTCACTTGTGGAGCACCCCTAGGTTCGGTCCCCAGTCCCTGGTACTGCATGTTCAAGAGATAATGCAAGCTTTTTTTTTTTTTTGTGGGGGGGGGGGCGTGGGGCGTGTCTGGGAGTCTCCCTGTGTTACCAAGGCTGATCTTAACACCTGGCTTCAAGTGACCTTCCCTCCCCTGCCTCCCAAATGCTGGCACTACAGAGGGGCCCCACACACCTGGTTCTAATGCCGGCTCTTTAGAATAAAATATTAATACAATGATGCTGATAGTGGTTCATGCCGAGTGAGTCTTACGTTGCACCTGGTTCTCTTCTGGGCACTTTGTAGGCATTAGCCGCAGGCACAGTGAGGATTTGAACCAGCTCTGCCTGAAATCGTGGGCTTTCTCTTTTCCAGTCTCCTAGAGGCAGGGCTGGGCTGTCTGGGTTGTGGGCTCGCACAACTTCACACATGCACAGAACCTCGGTTACTATCTACTTGCATCTCTGACTTTCCAAATGGGGTATCAGGCTCAGGGGGAGAAAGATCTTGTCCGAGGTCACACAGCAAAGCCACCACTTAGCAGGATTAGAAAGCAAGTCCTCAGATATTTGGTCAAGAGCTAAAAAAAAAAAAATCATTTTTTCTCCTTTCTTTCTTTTTTTTGGTTTTTCTTTCTTTCTTTTTTTTTTTTTTTAATACTAGAGATCTGGGATTGAATCCACTAAGTTATATCCCCAGCCCTTTTTATTTTTTGAGACAGGGTTTCCCTAAATTTTGGAGGTTGGCCTAGTATGTACAATCCTCCTGCCTCAGCCTCCTCATTTCTTAGGTTTCCAGTGTATGAGTTCCTGTGAAAGAGGAAGAGGGAGAGGAATGCAGGCAGATGACAGACATGTGTGTACAACTGCATGTTCATGAGCCACTCACACACACACACACACACACACACACACACACACACACACGGCTGTTAGTGGACGTCCCAAAGACACTGCCCGGACTGGCTTCTCATTCACTCCTTCTTTGTGCCCATGAACAAATCCATCTCATCTCTACACCCCACTTTCTTTCGGACCCAAACGCTGCTCAGGAAGTCCCTCAGACGTGGGCAGTTTTTGTTCCTGGAAAAGGTGCCCAGAGAAACCATGCTCAAGATCTGCCCTGGCCCCGAGACAGGCTGCGGGGGTGTGTGGCTGTTCCCCAGACTCCAGCCAGCCACCGGGGCTTCCCAGGGATCCTGCGGCGCTGCCCCCTCCCTGGAACAGTACTCAGGCCAGGGCTTGGAGGAGCAGCACCGCGGGTCTGGACGAGCTCTGGAAGTGTGAGAAAAGGTCAGCCCTGTGACTTGGCCGTCACACCTTGGCCATGTGACAAGGTCCTGTGTGTGACTAGGGAAGCCAGGGACCTCAGGAACTCGGAGGTCTGAGGTGGGGGAAGGGAATCAGAGGCCAGAGGCTAGGAAGTTTTACAGATGAGTTCTCCTTTGAACCCTCCCCAGAACAATGACCCTCATTTACGGCCAGAGGGGCCCAGGCTGTGCCTGAAGTCTCACTGCAAGTCAGTGGCAGAGTCAGGACTCAGACTTGGGGACCAGAAGCCTGCACCCCTGTGACTGGACAGGAGGCAGGAGAAAGTGGGTGCTGAGCACAAGGGCTTTGCTTCAGGCCTGGGTTCGGGCTCTGCCATGGATGCTGCCCTTGACCTTGGGCGTGTGGAGTAGCCTCCGAGCCTCAGGGTCCTCCCCATAAAGCAGGAGTAGGAGACAGGAGCATCAGTGGGGGGAGCCCTGCAGTCTGGATGCGGAGCGAGCCCCCTGCGGCCCGGCATGGCTGTTTCTGTTGCTGGCACTTCCCCGCCCTGCCCGCCGGGGCTCACTGATGGCCTGTCCCCCCACAGACCACTACTGGGACTTCCACCCTCACCACGTGCACAGCGAGTTCGAGAGCTTCCCCGAGAACCACTTCACGGAGCTGCAGAGCGTGCAGCCCCCGCAGCTGCAGCAGCTCTACCGCCACATGGAGCTGGAGCAGATGCACGTCCTCGACACCCCCATGGCGCCGGCCCACACCAGCCTCGGCCACCAGGTGCGTGCTGCTGGCTGTCCTCTGTCCTCAGGACCACGCCAGGCCTGTGGTGAGGCCCGGGAGCTTCACAGGAAGCTGACACAGGCTCTTACTCAACGTGGCTTCCTGCCCCACCGCGCCAACGGCGGCCGAAGCCCCAACGGCTGCCACTGACCCCCCGACTGACCTCGTGGCCTGCACCCCTTATCTCCTCTCGCTGGGGATGGACAGACCCCAGATGAACCCCCCATCTTTGGCTCCCCACCCCATGCATGGTCCTGTGTCTTGGGGACCCTCACAGACTGCAAGGCCTCATTTATGGGCCCCTCGGATATCCAAGTCATGAACCTCTACAGGGCCCTTCCACACCCACTGACCCCCTTACCAAACCCTCTCTGTCCCAGGGGCTGTAACCCCAGTGACCTAGTGACCTCCGCCACCCCTTCCCTCACTGTCACTCACTCATCAAACCCCATTTGCTCCAGATCAACCCCCTCCGCATCCCCCTTCTCCCCCAAGGCCACTGTCATGCCAGACAGCACCTTTGGGTGTATGAGAACAAGGTGCCCTTTCCCCAGGGACCTGCCCTGAACCAGGAGGCCCAGGTGGGAAGGGCAGTGGGTTGGATGTCAGCAACCCCTGGTCACTGTGCCCTGTGCCCTGTGTGGTTGTGGCCTCCACTGGCCTCCAATTTCTCAGCCTTCTTCCTAATCTTCCTGCCCCTGTGGCCACCTGCTTCCCAGCACTCCCTCTCCTCTTACTGAGCCCTGAGCTGACCCTTCCTGACCTCAACTCCTTCCCCCACCTTTCCAGGTCCCCTACCTGCCCCGGATGTGCCTCCCATACCCATCCCTGTCCCCACATCAGCCCAGCTCAGATGAGGAGGAGGGCGAGCGGCAGAGCCCTCCACTGGAGGTTTCTGATGGGGAGGCGGATGGTCTGGAGCCCGGGCCTGGCCTTCTGCACGGGGAAACAGGTAAGGTCCAGCCCCAGGCCCTGACCCAGCTGAGCCCAGCCCTCTGTCCCCTGCCCCTTCTACACCCCAGCCGAGGCCGATCAACCCAGCAATCAGGCTGGAGTCTGTGTGTGTGATCGTTCTGCAGGGTCTCTGAGCATCTCTACCCGGGCTCTGTGAGCACGTGTTATGAGTGTAACAGGGCTCTCCGCAAAGTGTGCTGTGTACGTGCATGAGCGCGTGTGTGCATGGTGCGTGTGTGTGCCAGTGTGAGCCCAGAAGCTGGGGGAGCTCTTCCCCTGTGAATCATCCCGCCACATGGTCCCGTGGGGTGGGCGGTCCCTGAGGGGTCCCTGTGGCCTCCACCCCACGCGCCCCTCTCCCACAGGCAGCAAGAAGAAGATCCGCCTGTATCAGTTCCTGCTCGATCTGCTTCGCAGTGGGGACATGAAGGACAGCATCTGGTGGGTGGACAAGGACAAGGGCACCTTCCAGTTCTCGTCCAAGCACAAGGAGGCGCTGGCGCACCGCTGGGGCATCCAGAAGGGCAACCGCAAGAAGATGACCTACCAGAAGATGGCGCGCGCGCTGCGCAACTACGGCAAGACGGGCGAGGTGAAGAAGGTCAAGAAGAAGCTCACCTACCAGTTCAGCGGCGAGGTGCTGGGCCGCGGCGGCCTGGCCGAGCGCCGCCACCCGCCGCACTGAGCCCGCAGGGCCCCCAGGCCTCCCACGGGCCACAGCATTAACCTCCCGTCGGCCCGGACACAGGGAGGACGCCCGGGGCCAGGGCAGGACTGTTGGCCACCTCCCTCCCCTCCCCTCCAGCCCCGCTTGCCCCAGGGGACCCCAGCCCCGAGGTGCCCGCAGCCGGGGCGTCGGCCAGGGCGCCGGCCAGGGCGCTTCCTTGGGGCTGTCTCTTGTCACTTCTGTAGATGGATGCTCCTTTCTAAGCATCGCCTTCTCCCACCGCCCTCACCCTTTAGGAAGGAAGTAAAGTCTTGTTAGTCACATGCTTGCAGCGACAGAGTCTCTTTCAGAATGTGCCCCTTGTCTGTCCCCTCCCCCTTGGGCAGGGACATGGCTGGTTCCCTCATTTAGCCATTGGGTGTCTACCCAGTGCTGGACCCTGGGCACGCAGAGACAAATGACACACAGACAAATGACCCACACTGCCTGAGCCTGGAACAAGACCTTCAATGTTATTAGCAGAGTTCACCAAAATAAAAGGCCTTCTGCTCGCGAGAGGGTGTTTGAAGCCTGGATGAGGCTTGAATTCACCATCTTCTGAGTTAAATATGGTGCAAATGATGTCGATGAGAAGGATGACCTTGTTAACAACACTGGATTTTCTGGTCATGCAGTACTGAGATGAGGACTCTGGTGTCCTCCCATTCTATAGAATGGGACACCGAGGCTCTCAGAGGTGGAATAATTGGTCCAAGTTCTCAGCTGGCTTGTGGCCAGGCTGGATCCACTCCAGGTCTGCCCCACCATGAGCTAGGAAGCTTTACTTATCTGGAAATAGATGTCTTCACTGTGCAGGAGCAGAGGCTAAGACCCCTTCTCACAAGATTCCAGCCCTGCAAGACCTTGGGCCGGTGATTCAAGTCCCCCTCCTGCAGCCCTTTATCCTGAACACTTGGCTGGCGGACTCCCGCCACACAGCAAGGCGCAACAGACACAGTCAGCAAGGAGCCTGGAAGAATTTTGCTTTAGCAAATAGCGGGTAGTGGCAGTAGACAGCCTGGGAATGAAGAAACTTCCGGAAGCTGTCTTCAGAAAACCCAGGTCCTAGGACCCTTAGCATTAAGCATTAGCTTAGGGAGAAAGACCCGGAGAGCTGCAGGCTCATCACAGCCCAGCCATGGTGCTCCCAGCCTGACTGCAGAGCCCCCAGAGAAGGTGGGGGCTGGGGTGTGACTCAGTGGCAGGGCACTTACCTAGCATGAGTGAGGCCCTGGGTTCATCTCCAGCATGGCAAAAATGGTGTTCAGTGTCTTCTTTTTAAAAAGGCTCAGAAGCAGGTGATATGGTTAAAAAAATGGAAGAAAATAATGGATTTTGATATATAAAGAAATGGCAAGTTTTTATCATCTGGAAAATGCTTGTGTAAGGAATTCCTTTTCTGATGGTGGGAGATGAATGATCTTTCCTAATATTGGGTTTTGTTTAGGGGGGGGTGGTCCCAGATAATTTGCTTCTTTCTGAGGCAATCCGTGGCCCTGATGTGATGGAAAAGGTGTCCAGTCCCAGTGGGCAAGAGGTCACAGAGAAACAACGGAGGGTGGGAGGAGGGGATTCAGAAGATTCTGGCATTAATCGCTGGTTAATCTTGGTGATGTGAGCAAGAGCTGACTTTATTCTGTGTTCTACTTTAGGGTGTATTTAGAGATTTACCCGCACGCCCTTACCTGCAGGCTCCCCCAGCCCTTCCCTTTAAGTGACACCAGCCACCACCACCCCACCCCCGTATTCCCTCCTTCCAACCTGGCCTTGGACTAAGTCCATCCAAGATCCGCAGCATGAGACCAGCTCTGAGCCTCATGAGCTGCATGAGCTGCGATAATGTGGGCCAAATCCTAAGAGCAAATATCGGCTCAGCGTGTTCCACATGCCAGACAGGGCTTAGCGTTTTCATATGTAAACCTGGCTCATGTGGTAACAGTCCTGCGCTGCTCTTCCCAGCCCCACATTACAGATGAGAGAACCCCGGTGCTGCAGAATTAATAGCTGCCAGGTCTCAGGGCAGCCCAGGGCCTGTGGCCACCACCACGGACCACAAGGGTGCCATGGATCCATTAGCCTGGGGTTACAGGCCCCGCACATGCCCACTGCAGAGTCTGCGGTCAGATGGACATGCAGACAGGGATTGGGGTACCCCTGAGGTTCACCCAGGGTTGAAGAGGCAGAAGCCATCATATTGCACTGGGGGTGGGGGGAGGGACAGAAGCCAACCAGGGAAGACATAGCCTTACCTTCTCCCTAGAGGGACCTCAGCTCCCTGGAATTTGTCTATATTTAGCAGGTGGCTGGGCAGGAGGCAGATAAGCAGAGCTGGGGAGGGGGGAGGTCCCCCATATATAGCAGAAAGGACAGGACCCCGCTCAGTCCCTCCTTAGGTGGCCTGTGCTGCTTGGTGCGGTGTGACCTCTCTCGAGATGCCTGAACCAGGGAAGAAGCCAGGTAGTCCCCGGCAGGGGGTTGGGGCTGGATGTGGGGGCAGGGGGTCTGTCCAGGTGGAGAGCAGGGTGGGGATAGTTTTTGAGGGGGGGTCAGTGATCCCAGGTTGGAAGGGGCCAGTCCTCTTCAGTCTGTTTTTCTGTTTCTCTTTCCAAGCCTCGAATGAGACTGAGGATTAACCCAGCTTCTCCAAGATGGGAGAGGGCCTAGGCAGGAAGTGCCCAGGGCCATCACTCCATTCTCAGAGCCCTAGGGGGTCGGTCCCTCTCTGTCTTCATCCCCCACTTTGCAGTTAGGGTCTCTGCCAACAGGAGCCCAATTTAAACAAGACTTGAGCCAGCCCCGCTGCAGGCTTGCCTGCTGTGGGACCCTGCCTACCCTCCCTGGGTCTTGATTTCTCCATAGATGCAGAGAGGGATTGGGCTGGTTCGCTGTGACACTATGTGCTCTGTGAGCCTGCGCCCCTGGAGTGCTCACACCAGGTGTGACCTCCCCGCCGAGTCTGATGCAACCCCTCTTCTCTGGGAGAAAACAGTCAGGAGGCCCCAGTTCCAGGACAAGGGCAGAGAAAAATCACAGCCCATGGTCCTGGAGGGCTGTGTCCTTGCTAAGGTCGTCCAGGGCAGGGATCCAGGCCCCCAACCCCTGCCCCCTCCCAGGCCAGCTTTATCTCAGTTGCTGATTCTCAGCCTCAGGCCCTTGAAGGACAAATTTAGCCACATTCCAAGTAGACAGAGAACTGGCCCCCTGCCAAGGGCCCCTGTTGGTGGGGGCTGGGTTCACTATTGGTGTCCCCAGGCAAGTAGGGTGGGGGATCCAGGGACAGTCTCGTGTGGCAGTTAGGACCACAGCCCTGTCTCTTCTCCTGTTGGCTGTGTGATCCTGACTTCTCTGCGCCTCAGTGTCCCCGTCTGAGAAATGAACGTGACTGCACCCAACTCATGTTAAAGGAGGAGGTCCATGGAGAGTCCGGGTCGCAGGGTTTAGTGATAGCAGCTGCAGGGGGCACAGTGAGCCAGGCACCCCTGTAGCCTCCGACTGGCCTTTCAGCCTCTGCCTTCAGCAAGAAGCCGCGGTCAACGGAAGTGGCCGCGGGCAGCCCTGCGGTGTTTGAGGCGGAGACAGAGCGTGCAGGAGTGAAGGTGCGCTGGCAGCGAGAGGGCAGCGACATCGCCGCCAGTGACAAGTACTGCCTGGTGGCCGAGGGCAGGCGGCACACGCTGACCGTGCAGGACGTGGGCCCTGCTGACCAGGGCTGCTACGCCGTCATTGCAGGCTCCTCCAAAGTCAAGTTTGACCTCAAGGTCATAGAAGCAGGTAGGAGCTTGGTGGGCCACCCTGGGGGCACCGGAGCTGCCCTGCTCTTGGCCTTGGCTGCCCGCTCCCCTCTCCACACCCCAGTGCCTCCCGGGTCCCTTCCTGCCACTGCCGAGGTGGGAAGGAGGCCCAGCCTGCCCTCTGCGGAGCCGCCTGGCCGGGGCCCACACACAGATGGCCACTTGGCAGGGAAGCCCTGGAGGTGGGCACCCGCGGAGCCCAGCCCAGGCTGGGGGAGGAGAGCAGGGTGGACCTGAGGGCCGTGCTGGGAGCTCAGTCTGAGGGTGAATGAAAGGCAAGATGCAGGCTGGCTCCCAGGGCCAGGCTGTGCCACCTCTGGGAGAGGCCCAGGGGACAGGAGGACGTGGCCCAGAGGGATCTGGACACTATCATCCAAGTGAGAAGCTTCGCAGACTGGGGGCTCATGGGGCTGATGCCAGGAGACATGGGGGGCTCCCTGATTAGAAACCAGGCCTTGACCCCACTCTGCCCCCTCCAGAGAAGGCCGAGCACCAACCAGCCCCTGCCCAGGCCCCTGCGGAGGCCCCAGCAGCCCCGGGAGGAGCCCTGGCTACTGAGCCGGAAGGAAGCGCCCCGAGTCCCGAAGGTGACAGGGGTTGGACAGGGATGGACAGGGCCAGCGGGAAGGGGTGTCCCAGGGCAAGTCTCAAAGGCCTCTGCTCACAGGGTCAAGCTCAGCAGCCCCCCATGGCCCTGCCCCTGGGGGCCCTGGGGCCCCTGAGGATCCCATTGGTCTCTTCGTGATGCGGCCGCAGGATGGCGAGGTGACGGTGGGTGAGTGTGGGCGCCTCTGCCCAGGGCTGGCGTGGGAGGGAGGCAGCAGGGCACCCCAAGCCCAGCGCATCACCCTCTCTCGCAGGGGGCAGCATCACCTTCTCAGCTCGAGTGGCCGGCGCCAGCCTCCTGAAGCCACCCACCGTCAAGTGGTTCAAGGGCAAGTGGGTGGACCTGAGCAGCAAGGTGGGCCAGCACCTGCAGCTGCATGACAGCTACGACCGGGCCAGCAAGGTGGGAGCCGAGCCTGCGGGAGGCTCGGGGACGGCGCTGGGGACACTGGGCAGGGGACCTGGAGAGCCCCCGGGAGGCACAAGGGGTACAGGGAACAGCATGAGACTGGGAGGTGCAGGGGTCAGGGACTAGGGCACACAGGGAGCATGGCGAGGTTGAGAGAGGGTGGTGGGGGACTTAGGGGTCCCCTGGGAACTCAGGAAGGCTGGGGAATCCGGGGAACCCTGGGGATACCAGCTTGGGAGCTGGTCCAGTCCTTGGGTGGATGGGTATCAGAGCTCAAGGGATTGGCCAGAATCATTCCTCATTAGACCAAGAAACCAAGGCTGGAGAGGCAAAGTCATTTCTCCAAGGTCACCCACAGGCCCAGAACCTTAAGCTCCCTGTGCTTTGACTCCTCGCCTCTGCTTCTTTCAGTCTTGCACAGTCCACCACTGACAAGGAAGACTCTAGCAGGGAAGGGCCAACATGTCCAGCTGTGCAGGCTGGGCACTGCCCCAAATGGCCTTATATTAAGTGCTACCTCTGGCCTTGTAGCCGCCTCACGGTCTTGAGAGGTGGAGCCTTTTTCTAGTTTATACAAAGCTCCACAAGAGTTAGCTGACCCTGGGGGTGTGAGAAGGCTGGGAGGCATTGCCATGCCCAGTCTGCCTTAGGGAGAAGGACAATATCTCCTGGCCCCAGTCTCCTGTGTCACCTACCCCACAGGTCTACCTGTTTGAGTTGCACATCACCGATGCCCAGGCCAGCTCTGCTGGTGGCTACCGC